GGGGAGAGATAATATAATTACCTCAGTAAGCTAGGGACCATTTTGACAGAATTCTATTCTTACCTTGGATTTTGCAATATTTCCATTATTATCCAAGCCAGGCCATTTGTTTTTTATAAACGGATCAAGTCAGGCTAACAGTTAGACTAATACTAGGCTCAGGCCATGCCAAATTGAAATTTTTTGATATAGGCTTGGGCTTTTATGGGCAAAGCTCGGCCCAGTCCAGCCCATTTTCTCCCCTACTCTTCACCCATTTTTTATTGTGCTTCTACAAATCGCTTCTCTTTACAAGACAACACTTTATTTGGCAGAATTCTATTCTTACCTTGGATTTTGCCTATCTTGGGTCTCAAAAAAATTCAAGATAGATGAAACCAAATATTATTTTCATGGAATACAATTCGATAAAGGATAATTATTTATAGGAAAAACATTTTCTCATATTGAAGTAGAATTGTTTTTTTCTATTAGTGACTCTTCAATTTTCGTGCAATATTTTCTTTTATTTTTTAATACATGTGGCCCCATACAAGATGTATCTATAACATGAGAAAATTTCTCCTACTGCATGAAAAAATTGAAACCCTTATTTATATTCTCCAAATATGGTTATGCTAGAAGTCATAGTTAGGGGTATAAATGAACTAGGCTGAGTTTTGGTTTAAATAGGCTAGACTTGTGCAAAATACTTTAGGCCTAACCTGATCTGTTTGCCTTTTGTAGGTTCAAATTATAAGTCTGATCTTGCCTATATTTAGACATGTTAGCCTGTTTAGGCATATTAGACAATCAATAAATAAAAAAATAATTAAAATAATGTTACTTTATTATTCAAAATCATTAAAATAATAATTCTATTTAAAATAAATAATATAATATAGGTCAGCCTGTAGGCTTATAGGCCCGACATGTAAAAGCAAGCATATGACCTACTTTCTAAATAGGCTTTTTAAAAAGTCTGGACCTATTCTATTTCACAATATGTAATAAGTCGAATTTAATCTGATGTAAGCTGGATCATAGGTCCTTATTAGGCCAGCTGGTCCATTTATACCCCTATAGGCAACTTTAGTGCCATATTAACAACTTATTGTACCACATTAACTCTTAATAGACCTAACTTGTCCTAATAATTTACTTAAATAGTAAAATAGTATTCTATAGACTCGGTGTTGAGTTTTCATAATACAAAAAACAATGTAAATGAGTAAAAAAAAATTGAGAGTCAAAACCATTACTTTGAAAACTTAGTGTTGAATTTTAAGAATAATAACTAATATAAAATAAATGGGATTTTTCAAATACCAAAAAAGTATTTTACTGGAAATATAATTTGAGGAGGAAAAGTCCGTAACTAGAGCAAAATAATCAAGTTATCAAATAATGTTATTAAAAAGGAAAAATATATCATTTTAAAAGAAAGTTATTTTAGTTAAAATTATGATTATTTTATTTAATATGTAAATTAAAAATAAAAATCTTCAACTCTTTTTATCATAGTTTATGTTTCTCTCACTATAAAGTACCATAATATTGACTGAAGAGACATGATTATATATTTTAAGATTTTAATGTTTCAGGATACCAAAAAAAAAAAAGATTTTAATGTTTCTATAGTGAATGTAGATAAGTTATATCTACATTCTCTCTCAAAACGATGTTGTTTTGGGACGAAAGTTTAAAAAATTATAAAGAGAAAGACTATTATAACCATTAAATAAATTATAATCATAAAAACACCTTGATTTCCATCCCAAAATAATGTCGTTTTGTGCTCAATGTAAATAACTTATATATGTTGACCGTAAAAAATTCGAACCCATATTTTAAAAGAACAAACATTAGTTCAATGTATAAAAAAAAAAAAACATTAATCCCTTATTAAAATGATCCAAAAGATTAAACCGGTTTTTAGAATTTTATATAAAATATTTAAACGGTCGCACAACGATAATGTTAGAGACTTGTCACGTTTATCACTAAATCATTGTTATTTGTTGTTCATATTGTTTTTATTATTATATTTGTGGGGCAGGTTATATTTACAAACTTTTTATTTTATAAATTACATTAAGTACGACCGGTTATACTTTAATCGTGCAGTATACGACCGGTCGTACTTAATGTAATTTGTAAAAAAATATTGTAAACGGATCCTATCTCTATATTTGTTACATGGCTAGATTATTCTTAGATAGATATAAAAGAACAAAAAGTTTTCCATTCAATCTTAATCACTGCTTTATTTATATCTAATAGCTCTTATATTTTTATATAAATTCAGTTAACTTATTTAATGCGACGGAATTAATGACGGATCCATTTAATAACATGTGAGGCAAAAAAAATAAAATATTACTATTTTAATAAATAATTATGAATATATAGTTATTTTGAAACTATTTACGAATTTAGTGCACTTATTCACGCCCAAATTAGGTGTGACCATTCACGCCTAAGTTAGAGGTGACTCACAAGATATTCACGCCTAATTTAAGCATGACTCGTCTGGTGTTGATACGTGGCACAAAAAAGTCAACTGATAAACCGTAAAACTTTGAAAAATCATAACTTTTGACTCGTATATCTAAATTAGGTAATTTGTTTTTGATTCCACAAAACTTTTTGAGATCTATGCAATGACACCTTATTTGACATATTTTATCTCTCACAAACACAGTTCAAATTTGCAATAATGATATTATAAGATCGTTTATACCCAAAAGCCTCAAAGTTCTTAGTTTGTGATTTAATATAAAAAAATAAATAAAGATTTGATTTGTGATTTAAATTTGAAAAATCAAAAAATTTAATTTTTAATATAAAAATAAATAAAGATTTGGTTTGTGATTTAAATTAAATAAATCTAAAAAGTTATTATTAATAAGGAAAACAAAATAAAGATTTGATCTGTGATTTAAACTCAAAATTTAATTTGAAAAATCTGTATTAATAAAGAAAATAATTAAATAAATATTATAAATCTCTAAAAAAGAAGGATTTTATTTTTTCTTAGATAAATAAATAATTAATTAAATAACTATTCTGAGGCCATGAGCTTCCAACAAATCCAGCCATAAAGACCCAATCATTGTTTCGTATCAGAGTTCAGGATTCGATTTCTGGTTTAGATTTCTTTTCTTATACCCATTACTCCATTTTTTTTTAAATGTATCTATTTTTTCTTTCTCTTAGGCATACATAATTTAAATGGCTTTAAAGGAGAAAAAAAAGTCATAAAACAGAAGGATGTAACTTACGGTATGGTTTGATAAAAGTCATAAAAAAGTTATATCTTTTTAATTTGTTTTTATTATATTTCTGTATCTTACGATTCGACATGATTTACGATACGAAAAATTTGTCAAACGATACACGATACGTATTGTGATTCAATAACCTTGTACACTATTTTTTTTTTCAAACACTTGGTAGAAAAGTATAACCACTTTGGTGCCATCTTTAATTTCAAACCACGACCAAGGATAGAGAGGTTCTAGTAGGCAGAAGATTGGGTTTGGTGTTGATTCAGAACTCGGAGGCTTCTAGATTTAAACGCTCGTATAGTACCATTGTTGCAAATTTGAAATGTGTTTGTGAGAGATAAAATATGTCAAATGAGATGTTATTGCGTAGATCTCAAAAAGTTATGTCGAATTAAAAAAAAATACCTGATTTGGATACATGAGTCAAAAGTTATGACCTTCTGAAATTTTACGGTTAAACTGTTAACTTTTTGTGTCACGTGTCAATACCACACGAGTCACGCCTAAATTATGCATGAAGGGGTAGGATATTGTAACAACCAAGTATAGTTACTATCAATGTTACTACCAATCAATTTCACCGTTAGATTGGTTATTTTGATCCGACGGTTCAGATTTGATACTTATATAGCCCTTTTTTCTTCCTTTCTCTCTCTTCCCTTCTCTCTCTCACTGTACACTCTACACATAACCGCCGCCACTCCGCTACCCCTCTCACTCTCTGCCGTCTCGTCACCGCCTTTAATCGCTCTCAGAGTATATAATTAGAAAAGGGGTGGCAAGAAAAAAAAAATTCCAGTCAGAATTCAATGCCACTTTTTAGTAATGCGCTGTATTTATGTTAATGAAATCAGATTCTACAGCCTTTGTCTTTGTTTTAGCTTATTTTATTGATTTTTAATATGGGTTTAGTGTTTATCATTTTAAAATGACATAAGTTATGTTATTTTAGGAGAGAGATAAACACATAAAAGTGAAAATCATGGGAGAGAGAAAGTGAGTGATTTTTTTTAATTTAAAATTTAAATAAAATTCTTTTTTTTGTGTCTGTCTCTCTCTTAAAAGGACAGAGTGTTATGTCATTTAAAATGACAAACACTTTTATCTTTTAATATAAAAACCATGAATTCTTAAATAAATTAGGGTTTATTTTATTTTGCCAATAGAGGCTGAAAGCGATGGGCAGTGATTAAGAAAACATATAACTCGAGTGATTAATTATTCTCCAAAACTGCAGTGATTTTCTTCCTTTTGTTCAAATGATTAATAATGCTCCATGACTCGAGCGATTAACTGCAGCGACGAGGTGGTAGAGTGAGAGGGGCAGCGGCGCAGCCACGGCGGCGGCTATGGGTAGAGAGTATAGTGAGAGAGAGAAGGGAAGAGAGAGAAAGAAAGAAAAATAGGGTATATAAATATCAAGTCTGAATCGTCACATCAAAATAATCAATATAACGGTGAAATTGGTTGGAAGTAACATTGTTAGTAATTATACTTGATTGTTACAATATCCTACTCCTATTTGTAATTAGGGTAAAAAATTAACTTATTGATAATTATTTATTAAAAAAGTAATATTTTAATTTTTTTTGCCAACATTATGATTAAAAAATATTATTTATTAATTTATTTTTCAAGAAGAAACTATAAAGTTTTTTAATTAAAAATGATTTTTTTTAATAACCTTTAAATTTAATTTAAATATTTATAAATTGAAGTTCTTACTTTTGTGTTTCTGGCGTCTTCTCCACGAGAAGCAAAGCCTTGAAGAATATATTCTCGGTGAATCCCGAGTCGTTTCGGCACATCAATTTTCCCGGGAAAACAAACAGGTTTCATTGCTCACTTCCTTCCATTATTTTCTGTGTTTCTTTATCCTGTACTACTCAACGAAACAATTCATATTTCCATCATACTAGGTTTTCAGATTGCTACTTCGCTTTCGCACGCGTCGTAATTTTCAATTTCTTTTTTTTTTTAATCATTATCTTCCTGTATCGAAGTCGATTCCGTTCAGATTGCTGTGTGTGGAATAGTATGTTAAATCTGTGTCATGTGTTTTTCAAATTTTTGATTTGGGGTTGAAAACTTGCTATCGTTGTGGCTTTTGGTAGTGCAGAAAATGTTCAAGAACACATTCCAATCTGGATTTCTTTCCATATTGTACAGCCTTGGGTATGTTACGTTTTGGCCTGTTTGTTTCACATGTTTTCTATGATGAAGGTACTGAAATTTTGCATTGCTTTTTCAATTTTTTAAATAGGAGCAAACCTTTGCAGATATGGGACAAAGAAGGTAAAAGTTTTCTGGTTTGCAGTTGTATTTTGAGCTTGATTTAAATTCAATATGCTGGAGGATAAGACTCTGTACAATCTACCCTCTTCCCTACTCTCCAGAGCAGGGAGCCTTGTGTACTGGGGTTTTCCTTCCTTTTATGATGTGTTGCCTTGATCTGTATTATTAAGTCTAAATGATATTTTATTCTCATTTTGAAAATTTTGTTTGTTGTCCATGTTGTGAAATGGTAAGGTTGTCACCTTGTGACCTTGTAAGATACATTTGACCCTTCCCAGAGCTCACAAAGGTGGGAAACTCAAGCATTGGGCTGCCCGTTTGGTCATGTCACGAAAGGCTGTTATGTAAAACATGTGCAAAGAGTGCTTTAGTTTCTCAAGTGCATGAGGGTTGAATTTTGGTATTTCCGTCGTTTACGTTGTGAAAGGGAATTTGTACATTTTTTAGATTACTTTATTAAGTGATTATTTTTCTGTCTCTCAGTTGAAACACCATGTCCTCTAATCCATGTACCTTCTGTGAATATACACTTAAAAATATCTTCTGAAATATTTTTTATAGTTATACCCTTGTCGTTGTGAATGCTGGGAAATAGAGTGCCAAAAAGAGCAAAAAGTAAGTGTAGTGGAGATGAGAATGTCGAGGTGGATGAGCGGACAAGAAAAATAAGATTAGGAATAAATGTATGCAAGAGAAAGTTGGAGTCCGAGTAACACCTATAGATGAGAAGATGACAGAAATCACCTAGCATTGTTTGGTCGTGTTAGAAGAACAATAGAGGCTCTGGTGAGAAAAGTGGATCAAATGGGAGATAGTTTGATTAAAGGGAGAAGAGAAAGATTGAAGAAACTTATGGAGAAACCACTAAAAGTAACTTGTTGAAATGGTATTATGAAAATTTAGTTCTTGATAGAGCCCAATGACATCAATTGATCTGTGTAATTGACCTCATAGTGGGATAAGGCTTGGTGGTTGTTGCTGTTGTTGTTGTAAAGAATGTTGATAAAGATGAAACAAATTAGAGAGAATTTCCCAACCTCTAGGTTATTTCTTGTATTTCATGTCCTGCATGTTTGTTAGACGTGCTTTATACTTAACCCTTGAAGCATAGCAGAAAATGAAGTTAGATAATCTTTCTAATAATTTGATCCGATTCCATTAATTGGTCAATCCCTTTGGTTTGTTTCTTGGTGATATTTAATATTTGACTAATAAAACTGTTTTAAATAGTTAATTATTTGTCTTAACATATTTTGTATTAGCCTGAAGATAGTAACTAACAATCTTTTTCATATTCAATGTAAATATTATATGACTGATTTTTTATTTTGTATTGGACTTTTGTATAGTTGTGAATGGCCATGTTAAACGACCACAGGATGAAGACATACAATCCAATGTATTGGAAATAATTGGATCAAATATTCAGTCCACTTACATTACATGCCCTGCTGATCCAGCTGCAACACTTGGTATAAAACTTCCATTCTTGGTTCTGATTGTCAAGAATCTAAAGAAGTATTTCACATTTGAGATCCAAGTACTGGATGATAAGAATGTCAGACGACGATTTCGAGCTTCTAATTTTCAAGTGTGTAAGTCTGCCCATGTTTGTGTGTCTTATGGGTTTCTCATCAACTTGAAGATGTATAATTTTTTCATATATATTTTGTGCATGAGTGCTTGCTTTTATCTGGTATAGAGAACTTTGATTTTCTGACTAGTCACTCCGAGGCATGATTCTTTTTTCTGGTCACTGTATCTAACAATCTGAAAGTCTTAGAAGGATCTTGGTGACATTGCCCAAGTCTGTGATGACAATTCATATCCTCTTATCTGTTTATTTTAGTAAAGGTCTATGTCAATGTATAGTCACAAATTTCAAGTTCTACATGATGCATTAGTTTGTACATGCAAAGTTGTTTTGATATTGAGTAATATCAATTGTAGTAGTCTTTATAAGGTGATATTTACTCATTGATCATTTGGTATGAAGATTAATTAGCTTTATAAACAGGAAACCAAATAATATTAATCTTAAAGATTTGTTTACTTTTGAAATTTGACATGTTTAATCTGCTGCTAAGTGGACATTGCCCATGAGAATTGTGTGGGAGCACAATCATACTCCCTGTAGTTTGAGAAAAGAATTGGAATGTTCTTATTTGTTCTGCATACTGTGAAAGGATGGGAAAATAAAATCACTTTGGACTCACGTGATTTGAGTGATTCAATGACGGGAGCTCTATTGTGGCCTACAAATTTTCATGTTCAACTTGTTAAAAGACTTGGATACATTAGTGTTAAAATAGTCATTAAAATTCCTACTGTTGAGCAATGTCATTTCTAAGGCATGCTGTGGAACTTTTGCTAAATAAAATCTTAATATTATTAATTTTCATACAGTGATGTCATTTCTATCCAAAATACTATCAATATGCATTACGAGTAATTGCTATTTTCTTATTTTCATATCATAGGCTGTCACTCGAGTAAAGCCCTACATTTGCACCATGCCACTGAGAATGGATGAGGGGTGGAATCAGATCCAGTTTAACCTGGCTGATTTCACAAAGAGAGCGTATGGTACTAATTATGTGGAGACACTGCGAGTTCAGGTCCATGCAAATTGTCGTCTGAGAAGGATATATTTCTCTGATCGCCTCTACTCTGAAGAGGAACTGCCGCCAGAGTTCAAACTGTACCTTCCAATGCAGGTAAGAGATGCCTGCATATTAGCAGCTAGTCTTTATGTTTTATCTTATCATCTCAGCTTGCATTTTTTTTCTCGGAAGGATAAAATCTCACTTAGTGTTTATAATAATGCAGAAATCATGAAAATGTTGTGGGATGATGGAATTGGAGCCACGAGAAGGTTGGATGTTATTTATATGCATGGCATGTGTATTGGCTTCTTTGCTCCAAAATATGTATCTATGTAATGCTAAAACTAATAAGAACTTTTGCATGTACCAAAAAAAAAAAACTTTTGCTACTGCTCTATTTCCTTCATTCCAGTGAGCTCCCACTGTTGGATGTTGTGATGCATTTCCGTAATATTGGAACTCAATTTCGATGATGATTTTTGCTTTTAAATGATAAGTGTCTTACCCAAAAAAGAGGCTGATAAAATGCATTGCATTAATAGAGTATGAAGAGTTCCCACACCTCTTGTGGTAAGAACAATGCACATGAATATGGAGTAACAAGTTTAAACCAAACTTTAAGTCTAAACTGATGAGAAGATATCCCTTTACTTGGGGTAGGGTGGGGCCTCTTTAAAGTGTAATGTGCCATTTTATTCATAAAATAAATTACTTTTTCTCCTTGACTTCTTAAATTGTCCCCATCCCGATTTAGGGATAAAACTAGCGGACAAGTTTATCGATCACTTTGAATTCATTGTTTTTCTTCAAATTAAGCGAAAAACAAGGACTATAGATCAATTTTTGTTTTTCACTGTGTTACCTCTTTAGAAGTTCTGATTTTCTTACTGGATACATATGCTATATATATACAATTTGATGCAAATCCACACAATGCTCCAGTGTACTCATGTCACGATCAAAATGTCTATATGCAATTTTTTTTTCTTATGATTGACTCTTCATTATTAATAATTTCATGTGAACAACACAATAATAACTATGGTAAATATTTACCATATGTTGTAAAGTTCAAGCAACAACTTCCAGCGTCACACATCATCAAGTACAATAAATAGCAAGTGAATCTAATCAAACTTCCTTGGTTCTAAATACTGAGCCACATGCTGCTATTCATAGCGTATAACATCATACTCCACGTGTTATAATGCACGACCCCATTTTTATGGGGGTGATTTATTGGGTTATTTAGGGTATTTTTATTGATCATATTACCCCAAAAATGTGATGAAATCATTCGGTACAAACAGCACTTATATCACAATGTGTTGCAAATTGCCTAAGAAATAAAGGGTGACACGAGACAACTTTTCAAATAGGAAGGGGTGTAACAAATTTGCAATCAACCATGATTAGTGGGAAGGTACAATCTCTTGCCAAACATGTCAACTTTCCTTCCTTTAGGAAATTGTGTGCTTCTCAACGATCAATGCCAAGTTGCCATTGCTGACCAACCCAAAGTTAACCTTTGCTATAATTCTAACCCAAAGCAAATCTTTATGTATAATGTCAAGAGTACAAATTCAAGAATCGATGTGACAAAAATGCCAACATTAAGTTATTGTCAGGTCAAAATCGATTTTGTGCTACAGAATTACTAAATGAACTTTCAAACTAGCCCACAACACTGTGGATGAGGAGCTGGTAGCGACTCATTTTTGCATAATTTCAGTTTATCTTTATTATTCTCATTTACCCAGAGTTACATATATTTGTTAGTCACTTATTGGAAGTAATTAACTTCGTCAAGAATTTGATTGATTATACTCGAAAACTTGTCAAGTCGTAGGTGATACAAATAACACCTCAAATACCGAATGTATCAAAAATCCAATATTTATGTATGAGTGTGTTTTTTTTTTTTTTTTTGTTTATATTCATTAATTGCCCAATTAGTTTTGTTCGAGCACTGTCAAACTCGTTATAAGAAACACTCTCAAAATCAATTTTTCCTTTCTCAAAGCTCAAACTCAAAATCTAAGATTAAGTGAAACAAACTCCTTATTACTTGAGCTAATAATTATTGGTTGAATATAATTTTTAGTTAGCATGTGGTGTGCCATCATTCTCACACCAATATGTGGCATAATCTGGTACTGTATTAAGATAAAAAAAAAAGCTTGGTAATTCAAATAACAATTATTTTATATATACAGCATAGACTAGAATATTAAACGGAGGGGGGAAAGAGAAAGAGGCTAGAACATAACGAGCTTGAGTTTTCTTATATTCTACATTCTCAGTATGTTCAGTACTAAATCAAACCATTCAAGATAATAGGACATCTTACATACAATTGCGAAGCTACCAATGTACTATAAGGCATAAGCTCTTCCTTCATTGGTCACTCAGAAAAGACAAGGGATATTTAAAGTAGACTTGAATTTGAGTCCAGAATCTTTTAGTTGGGTAATTCACAATATACTTAAATGAAAATTACTCTACGAACTAGTAACATCTCAATTAGACTCCAAGATTGACCTGCTCCAAGAATAATAAGTTAGTCAGAACTTCCGAGAAGGGTGACACGAAACCGGATAAGTCAAGCTCATTAGGAGCTTGAATATTGGTTAGTATCAAACCAAAAAAAATTTTACTCAACGGAGAATTTAATCATGAAAATGACCCTAGATTAAACTTCAGTGTGTAATTGACAAGTTGTCAAATATAGTAGTAAAAGAAAATTAGGAAAGAGTTTCCTGAATTCTACAAGTGCAGATAAAGAACAAAAAGCTGAGAAAGAAATAAAAATAAGAGTAAATACCATTTTCGGTCCTCAGCAAATTTCACGATGCCCGCTTTAGTCCCTAGTAAATAAAAAAGCATGATCCCTAAGAAATTCAAAATGGTCCCATTTTAGTCCTTTTGAGGAACTAATATGGGTCTTTTTTAAATTTGTAACGGACCACGATTTCAACTAAATGAGACCATTTTGAATTTCTTAGGGACCACGAATAACCTTTTTATTTGCTAAGGACTAAAGCGGCATCGTGAAATTTGTTGAGGACTAAAAATGGTATTTACCCTAAAAATAAATTCACTGCTTAAGATTGTGTACAGGTAAAATAAATAGTAAAAAGCAGATAGGGTAACAAAATAATACATTGATTCACCTATTTTGTTCACCTGTTAAAATAATAATAATAATGCACAAATTTCAACATGATTATCGATTCTCACATTCAACTGCGGTCATTAACTTGCATTTTTTTTGGGTAAAATAAACCTTCAAAAACCGAAGCACAGGATAAGGATGAAAAATTGGAAATCATCACGATGGGTCAGGGTCACTCACTCAAGCTTCTTGGCATACTCTAAAGATTTGAAAACTGAAGCACATTTATGTTGACGAATAATCATGACTAGGATGAATATGTTGGCTGCTAGAAACACTAAGCTTGCCACCCAAAGCTGTAAGAAAACATTTTTACCCTTGAACTCAAGCAGGTAACCCCACATTAACCAATGAGTCTGAGCTCCAATCCACAAAAGAATGCAAGACAATCCATCCCATTTAAGCTTCATTTTACTCCAAGGAAGTATTAGAGGCAACAAGCAAAAGAACCAAACGAAATACTGTGCTGTAATCACCTGCAAAATACACAGAAATCAGATGTGTAGTCCGAGACATTTCTGCCAAAATATAAGGAAGCATGTTGATTTAAAGGACCATTACTGAAAAGGGCTCCAATATAAGATATAATTATGCTTGAAATAAAGAAACAAATTTACTTAAGTCTATATAAAAACCTTAATTAAATGGAAATATGTAACACTAATGGAAATTTCAGCATCTATGTTTCTTTATTACTTGACAGACCTTATTGAATGCCACAAATGCCACAGTCTGCACAAATAGGCAAAATGGCAAATCCTGTGCAAAGCTGAAAATAAGAACCAGCTGAACCAAAAACTGTGGCAAAAAGGAGATAAGCTTCTCCACCACTGAAATATCATGCCCATAATGAAGATATATGTGATAGAAATAGATGGAGAAGTTGTGCCTTGGATCTGTGCGAGTAAGATGGTACAGCAATGCCTCATTTAGGAATTCCCACCCATATAAACAAAAGAACAGACCAGTACAAACGAGGAAAACCAATCCTGAGACCAGTCCAAATAGCAGCCTGTCCCTTGTGAATATGCTTTTTAAGAGATTGTGTAAAGTATGCCAGCCATTCCCATCTTTGGGTCTCTTTCCTTGAACGTCACTCCAGTTCCTTAAGACGGGTTTCTGACCAGATGGGAAGAAGTTTGGATCAAGAACCACGATTATAGGAATAGAATAAATTATAGGATAAATCCGGAAATGGACAACAAGTCCATACCAAAATGCTGACTGTAACACATTACCTGCAAATCAGGGGGAAGAAGGAAAAGGAGGAAAAAAGCATACCATCAAGGCACCAAGAGATATGCAAATATATGATATTTTACATCTTCTAAGAAAAAAGATTGCTTTGGTGTATCAAGTATCAACCAATAGTAGGCCTAACAATCAAATGTAAGACTCAAACTTAAACTTTTCAAATTGATATTAACATTAAAAAAACCACTCCCCGTTAAACCCGACTAGCGAGTGTGGGGTGGAGGAAATCCTTGTACGCAGCCTTACCCTTGCATAATTGCAAAGAGGCTGTTTCCTGGATTCGAACCTATGACCTTTCAGTCATGAAGGAACAGTTTTACCACTACTCCGGTTCACCCCCTTTGATGTTAACATTAAAAAAAAAAAAAATTGAAAAGCACGTAAAAGGCATTCTTTTCTTTGGAGCAAAAATACTTGATTTATATAATAGAAGCTTTCTCCAGTACCCTTCCTTTTTTGTGAGGCTACCAGTACCTCTTAGAAATTTAATATTAGGCCATGAATCCCATTTACATGAAATATAGATATAGCAAGTTTTTCTTTTCTTGTAAGAATTTCAATCAAATGAGACCCACAGCTAAAAATTAGCCACTAATTGCTAAGGATACGGGTACTCTCATAAAACAAAGGGTTCCAAAGGGATTACTACATTATACTATAGATTTTGAGCTTTAAGAACGCTTGGCAGGAGAGACAAAATTATTGAACAGGGATCGAAATGAAAAGATTTTAATTTTCAATGGTCAGTGCTTGGTAAAAAGCGTGGGAAAACGGAAAGTTGTAAAGTTATTCTGGTTAAATTCTTTACACTGCAATACAAAACATAAAAATTATTCCTGAAAAGTGTTTTTCTTGGTATGCTAAACCATATTCAGCAGAAAAGAAGACTACCAACTGATCATATGTACTGGAACACTTTTTAGGACACAGAGGATTAGAGATTAAAAGATGAAAATTTGGACATTACTATTACAAGTTTACAACACCATCAACTTAAGCTAATACAAAAGCAAAAACATACCTTTCATAAGACAAATAAGGATCCACAATATCATGGCACAAACAATGGGTTCACAGTTGCCACGTGTCCCAATTGTGAAGGTAAATGGATTAAAGAGCCATGTCATGACAGAGTAGTTGCACAGATTTTCAGGGACCTTCCGCATCTTTAGAATATAATATATAAAATATCCCACAAGTATATCTGCATTTTAGATATGATAAACATGTGATTAGGCGTAATGATTCGAAAACCATTTAGCATATTCATTATTTAAAAACATATTGATTGAACTTATTGCAGAGGGACAAAATGGTCACTCAAACAAAATCCACAAAAAATGGAAATTTCTCAATATTCCAAGTCTAACAATTACAATACTTCTGTCTTTTGCAACATTGATTGGAGGATGGAGCAATATTTTGTTTTTTTTCTTTTTCTTTATTTTGGTTTTGATAGAAATAATTCTTCTATCCTTAACTATAAAAGGCCAAATTGTTTGCAACCAAAAAAGGTCCTGTGTGCAAATTATATTTAAGGATTTGACTCCACTAAAGTGGGGAGAGCACTTTAAAGAGAAAAGTGAAGAGTTGTAACTATTGATTGAAAAATCAAGGGCTGAGTTTGTGATAACATACATGCTCATATAACAGATCGTAAGGCAACCTGGTGCTATAAAACTCTCATTATGTGAAAGGTCCAGGGAAGGGTTAGATCCATTTTATGGGTCTATAGTAGGCAAACTTACCCTTACATTTGCACAAGATTGATTAAATGAATTGAACCAATGACCCCCGGATCACATGGCGACAACACCAACCTTGTGTCAAGGCTCCCCCTTCATTGTTATAACAAACCATGAAGTTGTTAAAATTTACTTCATTGTATTTTCAATCAACAATTAAAACTCCACAATTTTGTTTTTAAAAAGCATCCCTCACTTTAGACAAGCCATATTCTACATATAAAACATGCCTAATTACTGCGTGCCACATATAGTCCATGAATCTACCTTCATACAGATTCTTCCACAAACCAACACTTGATATAGAATTAAAAGTTACAAGCATAGAGTACTAAAAAAAACTGAGATATGAATTTGCTTAAACTTGTCCATACCTGAAGAGGAGAAGAGAAACTTCCCCCATGAGCGATGGACCAATGAATTCGGAAGGAGAAGAAATGCAAGCAAAGGGGAATAACGATAGGTGGTTCTCTTATAAGGGGAATCACCCAAAGCCATTAAAGATGAAGCATCAGAAAACACAAGGTAGTCAACATCAGTGTATCTAACTTCCATATGTGCATCTTGCCACTCTCCATATACAATCAAAACAACACGAAATATGGAAGAGAATAGAAGCAGTTTATGAATATCCAATGATGCCATTTCTGAAAGGTAATAACAACAACAACAACAACAAAAATCAGAAAAACAAGTCAATTTGGATATGGGTTTTTCCAGTTTATATAATTATTTTTTTCTTTTTCTATTAAAAAAAATTGAATCTAACTGAAAGAGCAAACAACAACTTCAGCAGTTACTGGGAATGAAAGAGATTGATTACCTTGAAGGTGGTTTTGGTCGGAGACAAAAGCTGTTGGATTGGGAATGAGAATTTCGAAAGTGAGGGTTTACGTTTTTAGAGAGCAACGTCAGACACTGTCCCAAGAGCATTTTCTTAATGGCTCTCTATAATAAAAAGTAGGGTTTATCATATATCATTTAACATAACCACAAAAATTTTCCTACATACACAATATTTTGTGGGGCCCGCAGCAAAAAAAAAAAAACTTCGGCACGCAAAACGAATCTCTATAACATAACACAATCACTTTTCCTAGAACATAACTCTTATAAAACCCTAAAAAGTAATCGATTTTACTTTGTTTTAAATTATTTATTATTTTTAAATGAAAAATTATTTCCCTGCAATGCAAGATAAAAAAAAATTTGAAAGATATTTTAAAAAATTTATTTTTGTATTTTATCATAAATTTTAGGAAAAACTTTATTTTCTCCCTTGTGGTTCCGTGTATATCACTTAGCACTTTGTGATTTCAAATTTATCATTTGTATCCGTTGCGGTTAAATAAGTTTATCATTCGAGTAATGATATTCGTATTATTAAAAAAATTTACTACCAACTTACTATCATCTAATTATCATTGGATCAGCATTTTCTCTCTCTTCAAATTTTTTTAATATTCTATCTCTTTGATTCATGATGATTAGATAGATACTAAGTTAGTAATAGAAAATTTTAGTATTAAGAAAATTCTCCCTCCATCCATTCATTCAACCCTTGTGGTTTCAAACCTTTATTTACACTCATTGTGAATACAAAAATATATCACTTAAATTTCTTGGGGTCTTATAAATATTATTTTTTTATTTTTTTCTAATTTTAATTATATAATTGTATTAGTATCAAATAAACTTTAAAAAAAATTAATTATTAAAGATTAAATTAATTTTTGTAAAGTTATTTATTTTGAAATTATTTTAAAAGTTGTCTTTTAATTCTTAATTTTAAAAAAAATTATTTAAATTAAAAATATTATTTAAGATAAAAAAGATGTATTACCTGAATAAATTATTTATTTTAAATTTATTTTTTTGATAATATATAAAAATATTAGATAAAAAAAAAATAAAAAAATATTTGACTTAAATTTATTTCCATGAGAAAAATACAAGACCACAGGATTCAAATGCCTATAATCAAATGAATTTAATCCAAATAAAATAAAATAATTTTTTTTGAATTTTTTTTTTATCATGAATGAAAGCCTAAATGATACATTTAATTATAAATATTATATATATATATATATATAATAGGGGAAAGATCATCTTACAAGGTGTAAGAATAATAAGTATTACACTAAATTTTAATCATTGATTTTCGTGCATCTAACAGTTAAAATTTATTATAAATTAATAAATAATTAATGAGTGAGTCTCGATCAGGGTCCTTTTACACCAGTGTAAGTTACACTCTCAATCTTGTTCGTTGACTCCATTTATATCTAAGGGCTCAAATTTTTTAGTAATGTGAGTCATTGGATACAAGTGAATCAATGATCAAGATTGAGTGTAAAACTTCTAACTCTTACACCGGTGTAAGAATATCATGCCCTCTCAATAAATCTTAACTATTAGATGCAATAAATCAATGGAAAAGATCTGGGGTAATACTTATTATTCTTATATCGGTGTAAGTTGATCTTATCTTATATATACATATATGGGGTAGGATATTGTAACAACCAAGTATAGTTACTATCAATATTACTACTAAATGAACTAAATAAAGATTAATATGATTAATAACGAGTTGATACTGATTTGAATTTTTGAGTTATATTACTTGATTTGTTGTGGGCGTCTTTTTGATCTCTTTGTCCCTTATTAAATAAAAAATAACTGTATTAAAAAAAAATAAAAAATAAAAATAACCATTTTGCCCTCGTATCAAAACTATACTCCAATCTATTCCTATTTAATCGATTACACAAGAAAAATAATCGATTAAATGTGTAAAATTTAATTAATCGATTACGTAGTCGATTAAGCTGCGACTTTTTGCTTGTGCAAGCCATAGATTCTTTCAGAGAAAGAGCAGCTGTCGTGAAGGACTCGCTCCACAAGAGCCAGATCATCACCGATAACATGGTCTCCATTCCTCAAGATTAGAAGTTGACGAGGATTTGCTCTTGGGGTTATTCTATGACCAAAAGCAACAGTATTCTCGCACAGATCTCATATTTGTTTCTAAAATAAAATAAAAAACTAACTTTCCAGTATCTCTAATTGCACCGATGTTAGACACAGAAATGGCTTGCTGATACTCTTCCACCATTGCAATGGCCTCAAAATAAATAGCCTACAACCAACCCACCATATAACAAATACAGGTCACTAAACTAAGAATTAAACATAAACTTAACCAACCCATTCCAGCAAAACCAAAAACCCAAATATTCATTCCCAGATTATAATTTTTATTCCATGATTTTCAGGTGACGTAGTCTTTCCCTGTTCATTTCCTCTCTCGCCTGCAAAATAACTCAGCAAATCAATACCCAACTAATTTTTTTTCATATCTTCAAATGTTTGACAAAAAGGGTCAACAAAAAATTAAGCGAGAGATGGAGCTCCCATTCCCCCCAAGGAATCAAGATACCCAACTAAATTTTATCTTGTTTTTTTGGATATTTGACAAAATGGCTAATTTTTTTTTTGAATTTTTGGAGATAAGACGGAACTCCCATTTTCCAATTCTGGTGGGACATTTCACAAACACTTAGGAATCAAGTGGGGTGTGGTTGGGAACTAGGGGAAGAGAGAGAGAGAAAGATAGAGATGGAGCCTTTTTGCTTTGAAATGCATCAGTTGTTGTGTTCTCTCATTTTGTTTTCTGTGCCGATTGGGACTCGTTCATATGGTTTGGCAAAAACTTATTATCCAGGAGTAATTTGTACATGGAAACCAAAATGAGATACCCTTCCTCGAGATGCACAAGCAAAATGTCGCAATTTAATCGATTACATAATCGATTAACTAAATTTTAGACATTTAATCGATTACTTTTCTTGTGTAGTCGATTAAATAAGGACAAATTGGTATATAGTTTTGATACGAGGGCAAAGTAGTTATTTTTTATTTAATAAGAAGCAAAGAGGTCAAAAAGCCTGCTGTGGGCTGTGAGGATAATATTTCTAGCTAGTTTTAAAGTTTAGAAAATTTATTTGATTTAATAAATACATAAGACATATTTTCTTTAGTTAAACTTTAGTCTTTGATTTTACTTTAATCTAATAAATTTAGCCTTGCACTTGTCAATAATAGGGGTGTCAATATAGGTTATGACACGTGGGTCGACCCGCGACACAACACGAAAATTCGTGTTTGGGTTGACCCGTAAAAAAATTCGTGTCGTGTTCGTGTTGGAAAAAATGATACGTAAAAAATTCGTGTCGTGTTCGTGTTGATGTATTCGTGTTCGTGTTGACCCGTATTTTTATTTAATTATTATTATTATTTTTTTCAATTTTTTAAATTTTTTAAATTTTGAATCATTTTTTTCAAAAAAATTTGTCAATTACCATTTTGACCCCTATTTTGCGTGTTATTCGTGTCGTGTCGTGTCAACCCGCAAAAAATTCGTGTTGTGTCAGTGTTGAAGATTTTGACACGAATAAAAATTCGTGTCGTGTTAGTGTTGATGTATTTGTGTCGTGTCAACCCGTTTTGACACCCCTAGTCAATAGTACAAGTTATTATAAATTGTTAACAATTTGGGGGTATTACAATACTATTGTGATTTTTTCATATAACCATATTATGTTTTATTTAATATGAAAGATCCATTTTCTCTTATTAATTAGAGGAGGAAATAAAATAAGCATATCCTGACTAAATCTGGCGAATTCCTTCATTAGTAACTACTAACTAGAATACTAGCACTGCATGGATTTTAATTCAAAATTTATTTTTGGTTAAGATAAATACTGTTTAATTCGGCTTTGACGTTAGTTAGAATCATATAGTGAAAAAAAAGTATGGAATCAGTTCAAGTTGTTCGACTAAATCAGTGGTTTTGGCACCCCATTCTGATTTCCTCGAATTTTTTTTGTATGGAACTGATTGTAGTCTAATGTACAAGCGTATTATGACTTGGGTAACACAATTTCAGGTACAAAACAGTCAATACCCCATTCGTATGCATTGTTGGGTACGTATTGATTGAAACCGTTTGTTTACGCTCCCCGAAACTAGGTGAATTCATTTAGGGGTCATATTAATAATTGTTATGAGTTTCAATCTATCAATATGGACCAATGTTACTAATTTGAATAGGCATGAAAAGTCAAATAACATAATGAGTTATACAGTAACACAAAGTAACATAAAAATTCATAACACAATTACATGAACTCTACCATAAGACCTTAAATACATGCACATGATTGGTTCAACTTTGTCTAATCCTCATAGGACATATACGTTTATTGTGACCAATTTGCTTGCAGGTGCTACATCTACTTTGACTGCTTGTGGGTTGGGACTCAACCCAATCCATCTCATTCTGTATCCTTGTAGACTTCGGTCTCCCTTGTGCACGAACCAAAGATGCATTTGGGATAATCGTTGGACCATCTATTTCTGGAATCAACAACTCATTACCCATTGGAAACCAATGTGCAGCATAGACCTTCTCAATTTGTGTAATTGAGAACACAGGATCGACATAGTCATAGTGGTTCAATTTTTCAACCTTGCACACCGCTAGCACATTACTGCAAGGAAATCGTCTAGTTGTGAACCGTCCACATTGACATTTACGATTTAGCAAGTCAACCCTCATAATGTCGCCGACATCATTCGTAGACTGATTGTAGGCATCCTCAACTTCAAACAATTGCAAGTCTCTATCAAAAACACGGACACGGAGACTGACAGTTAACTGATCATTCTTTTGTAAGAAGTCCTCAACTTTTTTTGCAATTCTCCATCCTTTGGTCTTTGCTTTTTGGATCTTTTCACGCCTCTTGACAAAATACTCTACAAGTCTACTTTGCGTCATCTTGACCAATGCCGTTACTGGCAAATTA